ATAATTGCACTAATTAAAAAATTATTGTAATTCTAAGATTTGTTTTAAGGATAAAAAAATTATAATTAAGTATCATCTTTCTCTAATTAATAAATAATATAAGGCAAGCTAACGTTGTGTTTATGGATGAAATTTTAGGGTATAGATCTCAATTTTAAATTTGGATCTAGTTTATAAACCTAATCATGGATTTATGTGTTACACCAAACCTTATACATATTTTTACATTCCTATTTAGATAACTTTTTTTAAAAGGAATTTGATAAGGAAGAGATTGATGGAGGTTATAAGAGTTTTTATCAATTAAACCTACATGTTATAAAAACTTTTCTCATTTCATTTAGTTTAAAGAGTTTATAAAAAAAAAAAATAATGATGATGATACATGTGTACCTTATGATAACTACTAAAAAAGTTAGACACAACTAGAATAGTTAAGGACAACTTTATTTAAAGGATTCATTATGACCAAATAATAATTTAAAAATTGTTATAGTAAAGCATAATCTCTTATAATGTTGATGAAAAGTGAGCAAAGATTAATATATATTCTTATGTTGTAATTAAAGGCAATGAAAAAGAAAATTCAATGTAGGCCAAATTAAGATGATGTCCTAACCATGTTTATCCAGTGATTAGAGATAGAGAGCATAGGAAGTCAAACTCTTGGTGGCCTAGAAAACATCTATGTCACTTAAACAATTTAAACAAGTAAGTGATTGAATTTAGAGACAATTTCGAAATCAAATATCTTTGAAGACACGGATGATATCAAAAAAGAAGGATTGAACTTTCAAAATATACAATTGGTGTTTCCCATTAACTTTCAAAAGTGTTACTCAATCATCGAATTAGAATTAGTTGCTACATAGAAGATAATATTAAAAAAAAAAGGATAGATGATAACTTTAAGTTAAGTTTTGCAATCCATATATCTTTGGTTGAATCTTATTGCTTGGTAAGTCAAACTAAAATCTAAAGCCAAGCATTTTAAATTGTAAAAAAAAAAAGGTAAACAACAAGTTTAAGTTAAGTTTTGCAAACCATATTGCCTGATAAGTCAAACTAAAATCTAAAGCCAAGCATTTTAAATTGTAAAAAAAAAAAGGTAAACAACAAGTTTAAGTTAAGTTTTGCAATCGATACATCTTTGGTTGAATCTTATTGCCTAGTAAGTCAAACTAAAATCTAAAGCCAAGCATTTTAAATTGTAAGAAAAAAAAGGTAAACAACAAATTTAAGTTAAGTTTTGCAATCCATACATCTTTGATTGAATCTTATTGCCTGGTAAGTCAAACTAAAATTTAAAGCCAATCATTTTAAATTATATATTAAGATTGGTTACCTAACAATTTTAACTCATTAATTGTTTTTTAAGGTTGACTAGCTAATAATTTGGACCTATTTAAATTTCATATTAAGATTAGTCACCTAATAATTTTTACCAGTTTTTAAATTTCATATCAAGGTTGGTCACCTGATAATTTAGATCCATTTATATTTTGTTTTGAAGTTGTCACCAAACAATTTAGACCCATTTAAATAAATTGTCAAGGTTGGTCACCTAATAATTTGACTTATTTTTAAATTTTATTTTGAGGCTAGTTATCTAATAATTTAAACCCTTTTAGATTTCATATTGAGGTTGGTTACCTTACAAATTTGATCTCTTTTTAATATTCAAGTTGAGGTTAGTTAATTAACAATTTGGACCTTTTTAAATTTTATGTTAAGGTTGATCTCCAAATAATTTTGACTTAATTTTAAAGTTTATATTGAGATTATCATCTAACAATTTTTACCATTTTTAAATTTTGTTTTGAGGTTGGTCACCTAATAATTTAAATTCATCTAGATTTTCCCATATTGTTTTTCATTTTTTACAAGCTTACTGTACAAAGTTAAAAGGAAAATTATTTTTCCATATTTGTACTATTAATATTGTAACAAAGAGACAACTATCATAACTCAATTTACCCTTATTTTTCAACATATTTTAAATTTATAAAAAGTGTCTTTTTTAATGCGATTTAATCAATTTGTGACCATTTCATGATTCTAGACATTTTATTTTATTTTGTGTAAGTTAAAAAAATAATTAAATAGCAAAATAATAAACAAAGAAGAGAAGCGGAACTAAGATGATTGAGGATCAAATATTATAATGAAATGTTATTCAAATGAGGAAGAGAAAAATAAATAAAGATTCAAGCAAACTTGAAAAAAAAAATAGAAGAGAAAAATAAATAAAGATTCAAGCAAATTTGAAAAAAAAAATCATTTATAATCAAGAAAAGGAAATAAATTAATCTTGATCATAAAATTTCTGGATTTAAAATCTCCATCCATAAAGGCAATAGTGTAAAAATCTTACTATTTTGACTTTTCTTGTTCTAATAGTAACTCTAAAAATATAAATAGAGGACAAATCAACAAGGAGATGAAACAAAAAAATTATTCATAAAAATAGAAAAAAAACCAAAAACCAAAAGCTCTTTTCTCTCTCGATAAAAAACTTAATTGCCTTATATTAGCCCTATCTCTCATTCCTTTACTCAACAACACCAATTATCATCTAATTTATCATTTACTATCCTTTTGGATTTAATTCCCACATTTTAAAAGTGAAAATTAGGTCTTGTTCTCATGCTCAAATTCTAAATTATTATTTTAATTTCTAGCATTCATTTACATTCAAAAATAGAAGCGCATATATTATTTTAGGTATACTTTTAGCCTATATACAATACATACTTTTATCATTAAAAATAAACACAAAATATCTTACTTTATATAGAATATTTTATAATAATTTTCAATCTTCTTTATAACATAACTAGCCCTTACCTAGAATATTTAAAAACTAGTAGGTGTTTCTAGTTATCATAAAACCAAATAGTAACTTATTTTCTCATTTTTAACCTTTTAGCCTATAGTTCACCTATATGTCCCATGCAACACATGCCATTGACTTGATGAAAACTCATTGATGCTTTAATGAACTTATATTAAAGTTAAAAACACTATTGTAGGCCTATACTAGTTCCTAAAAACTAGAAGACACATTGACTTAACTATTAAAAATCAAGTTTTGATTAAAACATGATGCTAACTTATTGAAAACTCATCGATATAATTTTTATTATTTGTTCACACACACACATGTGTGTGTGTGTAGAAATTTCAACACCAACGTTAAACCATTACATGTGAGATAAACTTGTTACAACCTATCCTCCTAACTGGAGAATTGATTCCAACTTTATTCCACTTAAAAAATCAAGCTTTGATGGCTTCATATCCATAGTTTTAAAGCTTGGCCCTGCGGGTCTACCTGAGATCTGAGACTAGAACCGGGCCGGGTTTATGAAAAAATAAGGGTCGTTAAAAACCAGGCTGACTCAGCAGGTTAACTTGGCAAGATTCAATTGAAAACCAGGCTGTAAACAATTGATTATTTTTTTATATAAAATAATGTCGTTTTGATTTGTAAAAAAAATTGAGATTCACTCAGTTGACCTGGTTAAAAGTCGTAACCTAAGCCTTGGCCGAGTCAACCACTAGACCAGGTTTTAAAACACTACTAATATCCCTAGGCAGCCAAAAATATGAACCAAACACCTCAAATATTTCACAATAATTCACATTAAATTAAAAATAAATTAATCAAACACCTCAAATATTTCACAATAATTCATATTAAATTAACAATATATTGGTAAGTTAAATTATGTTACTCATACTGCCACTATGGGTTTGGTTATTGCTGGATCTACTTCAAAGGATTGTTACAATTTTATTTTCTTTTACTAGTGGCTGCTATGATGGTAGGTGAAAGGGAAGTTGATTGATGATGAAGAATAAAGAAAATGACTTGTTTAGACGAGAAGAAAATAGGATGTTGTCATAGAGAAAGATTAGTTGATTTTTGAAAGGCTATCTATAATGTTGGTGGTGGTGGTCGGCATTAATGGTGAAGAGAAATGAGAAAGGGGACTCTCTCGAGTTTTATTTCTTTTTTATTTTTAATTTCTCTTTTTTTTATGCACATATTTTTTTTTTAATTTCTCTCCCATTTTCTCTACCATTCACCCCCTTTTTATAGTACTTAATATTCATTTATTCCTCCTTTATATTTACTTTTCGATCCTTGTTCTTTCTTATCCTATCACATTCTCCGACCTTTCACACCTTTCTTGGCTTATCTATTTATCTTTAAATTGTATAGAAAAGTAGTTTAAAAATGTTCATATTAGTCCCTAATCTCTTCCTTTATTATTATCATACTCACTAAATTTTTTGTTTCCTTGATTTTTGTTTTTTTTTCAATTTTTGTCTGAAAACTTTAATTTTTTAAAATTCATTAACATGAAAATAATAAACAAAAAGGTTGAAAATCATAAAATAACTAATATTATGAGTGATGTAAGCAAAATTCTCAATGTTAGTATAAATAGAGGCTCGGGTATAATGTTGTAAAGCAAAATTTTGGAAGAGTAAATCTTGAAGGAAAAGTCTTTTCAATAAAAAAACTTTGTTTTTTTGATTTTTTATTCTTCAAAAATTTTGCTGAAAATAATTTTTTAAAGTTTTTGAATATTTGTTTTTAAATACAATTGAAAGAGAGGATCAAAATCGTGTTACTACAAGTAATTCCTTAATTATTATTGGCCATCTTTAATTATTTTTTCTTTTCCCTTTGAAAGATATCTTTTTTTTAATTAAAGTTTCTAGCTTGCCTGCTCTCCTCTCTTTATTTTAATTCTTAAAAAGAAAAAAACCAAATAAATTAAAAAGAACAGTGACTTCAAAAAAATATAATTTATACAAGCAGCAGGATTTGTTAATTAGCTTCGTTAAGTTAGAGTCATAAATTATTATAATTAACTCAAAACCCACCCGAAAAAAAGCAAGAAAAAATAAATAAAAATGTCCGCGGCCTGCTCTGGTGTAAATAAATAAGAAGACAACAAAAGTCAAAGTCGACGCCGTACCATCAAACATGAGATTTCCAATTTCATATATGTTTTATTTCTCCTTCCTCCTCTAAAAAACCACCTGCTCTTGCTTTCTTTGAATATACTTTATTCTTACTGGCAACAAAACAAATCTTACGATCAGGTATTAATTAATTAATTAAATAAATGGATTATTTATTTTCGTTTAATCTTGTTGTGATATAACTTGAATTTTATTTTCATAGTGATTATCAATTGATAGCATAGGGTTTTAATTAGTTAGTATTATCCCTTTTTTTTATTATTGTTTTGATCGGTAGATGTCATTTGCAATCTGTTCTTGAGACGAGCTATTTCTTGTAGTGTGTGCTGTTTGGTCTTGAACTAAGATTATCAAGATTGCCCCCAAGAACCTGAAGTTTGGATCTTTGATCAGTTGTAATTGTTAAATTTTGTCTTTGAACAAGTTCAAATTGCATGTAGGAGGATAGGATGAAAGCAGGGTTTTCAATATTCAAGAGTACAGCATTCTCTCTTCTACTCATTGTTCTTGTGTGTGCAACTGTTCTTGTATGGGCATGGCAGAGAACTCCGCTTCTAAGCGCCTTCCTCCCGCCTGATAGTCTTCTACAACTTTCGCCAGGTATGCTTCGGTCTGTGGGAAGATTGATTACTTTTTTTTTCAAATCCTAATGGGCATTCCATTTTGTTAGTTGTGATAGATCTTCTGAACAAGTATATTGTTATTACTAACTTTATCTTGCTGGATTCTCTCTTGAATTTTATGGGAATTTTTTAGTGTTTATCTATATATTTGCATGTTAGGACATATGATATAGATGTTGTTCTAAAGATGTTTTCTTAAACAGAAGATAAAGACAATCAGCCAGTCCTGACAGTAGGAAGAAATGGCACTGCAGAAACTTCTACAGGTTTGGTAGAAGCAGAAGTGAAGCATGACCAGAAAATGGAAACAAATCTGAAAACAGATGTGCAAATTATGGAGTTTGCACCACCAGAGCGTTCTGAAAATACAAGCTCTACCACAGGGAAGGAACAATATAATGAGAATGTTAATGATCAAGGTAATACATGCATGTATACAATCTGGTTCCTACGTGCTTTTGTTCTAACTTAAAACCACCTTGAATAAGATGTTAAATGTGTGCTGCCAAAAATGGCATGTATGATCATTGGCATAGATTGTTGCCTTCACAATGCAACTTTTATTAAGACATCATGTTGAGTGTCCTGTCTGATCAATGTCTAGTTGATTGGTTTTTGAAGTCATTGATGGATGCATCAAAAGAGATTTATTTCTCCTTTTCAAGTTGTACTCTGTCAAGTTTTTAGCTGCACATTCCGGAAGTGATCCAAAATTGTTCACTGCATGATAGCAATGTATTGGAAAAATTATAAGAACACGTGTGCTGCTACTAATTCCGGGTAATAACAATATACTCTCTGATGAATTGAAAATGAATGTTTGTATCCACTTGGGTTGTCCTCTGTCTACTCCTTATAACTAATAAATTCACAACCATCAAATCCTTGAGATGCAATTATTCTTGTGCCATATTCGACATTTAACATTCAAGTCAGTTCCATGGTGAATTCTTGGGAGGCTTGAGTGCCGATGCAGAGCTAATTTTGATACAACTTATTTATTTATTTATTTTTAATTTTTAAGTCGCATGTCTCTGAGATGTCTTAGCATGCATATTACCAGATGCTGATTCTCATCTCATCTTATCCTTACTCCAGGCTGTAACTATGCAAAAGGAAAATGGGTTTTAGATGATAGCTGGCCTTTATATTCTGGATTTCATTGTAATAAATGGCTGTCACGTATGTGGGCCTGCCGCTTGATGCAGCGCAAGGATTTTACCTATGAAAAGCTACGGTGGCAACCAAAAAATTGTCAAATGGAAGAATTTGAAGTGTCCAAGTTCTTAGAAAGGTACTAATGCATTTTTCCCTCTTCAGCTGTTTACTGTTTAAAAAACACCAACAAATTGATGAAGCTCTAAACTTTTGTCAATTCATGAGTCACATGCCATCAAATGCACCCCAGCCTTGCTATTATACTTTTGCATTCACATTTCACATACTCTGTGTGTCAGCTATCTAGGCTGATTATTGATTCACTTTCTCCTGGTTCTGAAAGTAATATATAAACTTTGCATTCAGGATGCGAGACAAAACTCTAGCTTTTGTTGGAGACTCTTTGGGCCGACAGCAGTTCCAGTCGTTAATGTGCATGATCACTGGTGGTAAGGAGAGCCATGGTGTAATAGATGTAGGAAAGGAGTATGGACTTGTCATGCCTCATGGAGGTTCTCGCCCTAATGGGTGGGCTTATTGGTTTTCAAGCACCAATACAACTGTCCTTTATTACTGGTCAACTTGCCTCTGTGACCTGGAACCTATTAATACCACAAACCCAGAAACTGACTACGCCATGCATCTTGATCGGCCTCCAGGATTTTTGCGTCAATTTCTTCATAAATTAGACGTCCTAGTTCTGAACACAGGGCATCACTGGAATCGAGGAAAGCTTAAAGCTAACCGCTGGGTTATGTATGTAGGGGGTATGCCCAATACCAACAGGAGACTAGCAATGATTGGGGATGCCAAAAACTTCACTATCCATAGCATTGTCAATTGGGTGAATTCTCAGCTTCCAAAACATCCACACTTGAAAGCTTTCTATCGAAGCATCTCACCTAGGCATTTTGTCAATGGTGATTGGAACACAGGGGGGAGCTGTGACAACACAACCCCAATGTCTATAGGAAAGGAAGTACTGCAAGATGAGTCTAGTGATTATAGTGCTGGAAATGCAGTGAAGGGGACAGGGGTTAAGCTCTTGGACATAACAGCTCTATCCCAACTAAGAGATGAGGGTCACATATCACATTATAGCACCACAGCTTCGAAGGGAGTGCATGATTGCTTGCATTGGTGTCTGCCTGGTGTTCCTGACACATGGAATGAAATCCTTTTCGCACATATTAGTGCTACATCAGTGATTAATTCTTGAAGGTAAATGGGTTGAAGAAGGTGATATCATTTTGTGGAATGGGTCAAGAATTCCATCATCAAGAAATTTTATTACGGTGATTTTTTTAGATCTGGGAGAAAGAAGGAATGATAGAAAGTTTAGGAGAATTGTTTTAATTTGGAGAGAGTTACTGGTAGAATAAGTTGATGACATGGTATATTAATTTATGGGTCCAAATGCTACTGCATAATTTGAGCACCGACTTTACGCACAGGAATGCAACACAATTGGTTCAGAGAGGCTGCTTAACAGAGCTTCAAACTGAAGTTTTTATTATTCCAGAGTTTCGAAAATCATGGAGAAGGTTTGAATTCATGGTTGAGAAGAACGAGCAGTGTTGTAGCATGGACTGCAGCAATTTTTGTGGATAACATCTGCTGATTCAATCTCAAGTTTCTAGCTCAACTAACCATTTGTTTCTGTGACTGCTGCGTTTCTTTTGGAATTCAGATTTAAAAGGAAGCTGCTCCCGGATAGTACCCTGGGGTGTATTTGCAAGTGCCTGTGTTGAATATAAATTGAGAGAAGGGACGAGTTGAGACTTCTGTATTCACATATAAGCAAATCCATCTGATAGTAGCTGCACGCACTAGTGTTGTCGGACACGTTTTTCCACCTACATTATCATCTCGACATTGTTGTTTTTATGAAACTATTTTTTTTAATTTAATTGTAGAATAATTATAATAATAAAAAAGATGCGTTGCAAATATTATAATAAAAATACTATAATTTTATTTGAATACAAATTAAAGATTAAATGGAATTTAACAAAATAGTATTTAAATATATTTTTTAATTATTTTTTTTAAATTAATGAAAAAATTATCAAAATATAAAAAAGATAAAGGCCAAGAGAGGCTAGATGTTTGGGTTTGATTAAAATCAGGTATGTGGACCTGTGAAGGCCTGCTTGGCTTAGTCGGCTTATTTTTCTTCTTCATCCATTAAAATAGACAGTTGTTATCCATTCATTTTTAATAAAAGAAATAAATCAAATGATGGTGCATCGTCAACTAGTTGCATTCCAACCATCTTAGGTGATTGAAAAAGTTGAGAAATTAGATCTCGACTCTCCAACCATCTTAGGTGATTGAAAAAGTTGTTGAGAAATTAGATCTCGACTTTGTAGATGTAAAAAATTTATTTTCAACCGTTTTTTCACTTAAAAATATCTAATAAACACCCCATTAAAGCATATATTTAATATCAAAATAACTTTCAATCGATGAAAAAACTGAAAACTTATCCTAATTTAAAAATAAAATTCATTTTTATACCATTAAACATATTCAATTAACAATAATTTTTAATAACTCAATACATTATCTATAAATAAAGCTTTAATTTTATACATATAGAAGTAGAAGATAACAGTTCTTAGAAGGTTCTACAAATTAATTCATCATCTTAATTGGTGTTCATTTAATTAACAATTTCTCAACTTCTTGATGTCCATACATCTCATTTGAACATGAAAAATAATATAAAAGAATCTATTAGAGGTTTGTAAAAGTAGTTATATAAATTTTAAAAAATACCATTGATATATACTAGTAATACTACTTATACTTGGATGCAAGATGCTCTTTAAAATTTATAATTTATTTTATTACGTGATAATAAAAATAAAATTTTAGAGGAAAAAAATAAAATAAAATAATAGATACAAATATATGTTTTAATAAAAAACTATTTTTTTCTTGTTCGTGTATCTTTTATATTAACATATTTTCATTACTAGCATGGTTTATTCAATAAAAAAGTAATAGAAATACAAACAATATTTACAAAGAATCTAATAATTTAAATTTAAATTAAAAATATATATTTTAGTCACGTGTTTTTTTAGAAGCATTGTTATTTAAGTAAAACCTTACTCATGTATTTCAATTAATTATTTTTTAAATCAAGAAATGATCATTTTTATGCAACTGTATGAAAAACATAAAAAAATAAGTATGAGAAAACCATATAAAAATGGTAAAAAAATAAAAAAAATATTTTATTCTCATTCAATATTATTGAGAAATTGTTTTTAAATATTCCACATACTTGGTTAATACTACGTTTTAAATATTCCACATACTTGGTTAATACATAGTTATTCATAAAAGTAATTACTAATACTACGATAAAAGCACTAGTATTCTTAAAAACAATGATATAATTTGATAGTTCCTTAAACATTATTTCAATAAATTCATTTAAATTCAAATAAATTTCAAAATATTTTAAAAAAGAAAAAGCTAGGTTAAGGAATGTTTAACAAAAAAACTAGGCGCACAAACTGAACCTTAAGGAAGAAACCTAGTTGTATATAAAATTGGAAGGTTATGTATAAACCCCATGTTAAATAGTGTAGTTTTAGACCAAAATGTAATAAATTTAGAGAAAAAATGGTTGTAATAAGAGGTCAAGATTTCTTATTAGTTAAAAACTAAGATGAAATAAAAATTTTATTAGTATGTAAAAAGTATTGATGGTTAGATATTTAATTGAGATAAAGTGTAGGATAATTAAGAGTATTATTTTTATAATTTAAAACAAAAACTCTCCTCTTTTTTTAAAGAGAAAATCGATGGCATAATGAAGGTACAGAGAGTTGGGATTTTGTTTCTTCTTCTTTTTTTCTTCTTTTTCATCATCATTTCCACCTAGATTAAATGACATGAAATTGCTTTAGGTGATTGCTAGTTAAGAAAAATCAAATAAAAATAAAGAAAAAAAACTTTAAAAGAGAAAGAGAAAGAGAGATAGCTTGGATGTTTAGATAGAGAAAGTTTGTAATTTGAAAGAAGAAAAGGGAACTCTTGAAATTGTTGTAAAAGGGCTTTTAAATTGGGTTAATTAGAATTGATAAGGTGTTCTTTTTAGTTACATTCATTCTTTTTTCTTGTTTTGTTTAAGAGATTGAAAATTTTCAAATTTAAAGATTTATGTGATTTGTTTGAAGAAGAATGAAATTGTGTTAATTGTTGATAAATTGTGATGTGCATTAAATGATTAAGGATTTAACTAGAGAAATTAAAGGCCAACATGTAAATAGCTGACCATAATTAGAAAATATGGAGGAAATTAGAAATGTGATTAAATTAATAACAATTATGAATGTTTAGGATTAGGTTGAATTAGTTTATTGTGGAATAAATAGGTTAGTTAATATTAATTTTGTGGATTAAATCGTGGGAAAGTTGACTAAGTCATGTAAGCTTTATATTTTAAAGGGTAATATTATGCTTGAATTTGATTGTTATGTTAATAATATTGTATAATTAGTATTTAAAAGTGTATTTTTATTAAGGTTTTATATCAATATTTTGCACTTAAAATATCAATAACTCCTTAACTAAAGTATGTTTTATAATAACAAGTCTGATACTATAAGATATCTTTAATTTATAGTAAATGTTCATCTTAAATGCAAACCTATCATACAAATCAAATGATTGATTGATGAGTTTAACTACTGAAATTGAAAAGATAAAGAGAGGGTGAAGCTTATAAAAAAGATGTTGGTTCAGTTCAAACTAGAATACTGTTTGGTAAATGGATCATAACTAGAGTTGTAGAACTTGGATTTAGGTCTGTTTTATATAGATGAAAAGTTAAGACATAAGCCTAAAACATTAATGAGGAATGTAAGACTCAATTTTGCTATTTGGAAGTCCAAATCTTAGCAATAACGGAAAAGTCTGAACCTGTATTGTAACATAAACATCGTGTTTCAAGTATGTGGGTGATTCATATGAGATAAAATGTCGAGATATTGGATTATGCTTGGAAATATGGAAAGATAGAAGTATGGATTTAATAACTTGTGTAAATGTTTATGTTTAAAGCGATGCGATAAGGTTAGAAATTGTTTGGGAGTTATAATTTAAATAGTTAAGTGTGTTGTATCTTGATTGATAAATTGGTAAAATGGAAAAATAGAAAGTATATGTATTGGATGAGTGATGTTGGTTAAAAAAGAGAAATCATATGTGAATCTTGAATTAGTAAAGTGAAAAGAATAAAGATGTGTTTGGATAAGAATGAATAATGAGTTGGGAGTAAATTGAGTAATAATTAGAGATGTTTCCTTGAGAATCAAGAGGGATATATGAGATTGTATCGACTTCTAAGAAAACGAAGCTCATAATACTAGAGAGATAGGTAGATGCTTGTCACCTCATCTTTTTTAAATAATAAATGTCCTAGTTAGAAACGTTTTGCATATGTGAAATGAGTTTTGGAAATGGATTACAAAGAAAAATTATGCCAAAAAATTAACCGGCTATTTTGATGGAGACTAGGTATTTATATGTATTATAATCAACTATTAGTTAAATTGAATGTACATATTAAGTTTTAATATGTTAAATCTATAATAATGTGAAATTATTAAAGTTATTAATTATTATGAGTTGTATTGCATAAAAGTGATATATATATTGACAAAAATTATACTAGTATATATAATTATAAAAAATATTGCGATTGATAAATTATGTGTTGAAGGGGTATGCTTGAGGTTGCCCATGAGCATTGGTTATATAACTGTATATAGTTTAGGGATTGTGATTGTGTTATATAGGTATTTAATAGAGAAAAGTTTTTTGAAAAGAGTTCTGTACAAGACAGAGTCTATTAAATTACATTGAAATTACATGAACTCTTTAAATTCTACTGGAAAAATTTGTATATATGAAGTGTATGCACAAGGAAGACTTTGTTAATTTTTTTTTAAAATATTTACCCCACTTCACATAAGAGAAACATAGTTTTTTTTTTTTAATAAGTGGATAATGATGTCTATTTTTTTTCTAGTTTCTATTTTCAATTATTAGAGTTGGTTCAAAAGTTAGGGTTTAAGTTTTTGTATATGAAAAGTTTATTTTCAATTTGTTTTCTCTTAAAAACACATCGAAACAACGTAAAAACCTTAATAAACTTGTTTAAACATCATTTAATCACTCTCAATATAAAAAATAACTTTTTTGGTCTCAAGATCTATCTTTTCCAACATGATCTAAGAGAGAACCATCTTTATTGAATTTCTATTTCAAAAATAAGCTTATTGATGCTAAAATTAACCATTTTATGGTTGGAATGTCACTATTCAGACCTAATTTCTTCTGTCACTTTTTCTTTTAATAATTTTATTCCTCTCTTAACATAGGGACTTAAACCTAGAAAATAAAATTTAGGATATTAA